GCACGTTTCCTGAAGATAGAAGTGCTTGTTGAATCTGACGTGACATGTTCGTACGAACCCTTTGTACGAACAAAAGTAAGAGAAATTTAGGATAAAAATACGAACATGTTCTTGCATGAGGCCCAATGAGAAAACAAAGTTTTACACTGGACTTCCCAACTTTTTGGTTTTGATGCAAATTTTTCAGTGCTGTGAACCATACATAAGGATGTCATCATTGTCAGCTCTCTCCAAATTTGAGCAATTTATTATGAAACTTATGCGTCTCAGATTAAATCTGCAACTTCAAGACCTTGCCTATAGATTTAATGTGTCAACAGCCACCTCGAATTTGTCTAAGAATGATTCTTGTTCTCCATGAAAGACTAATTACCTCCGCCGAGGAGGTAATGTTTTCAGTCATGTCTGTCTGTCTGTCGGTCTGTCTGTGGACAGCATAACTAAAAATCGTGTGAACAGATTGTCATGATATTTACAACACATGTTCATACTAGCACACGTAACACACCATTAAATTTTGGTGATGTTTTGGAGCTCGATGCAAACACAGGATTATTTCTTTCAATTCGAGCGAATCAGCCAGAAGTTGCGAGCTCCCCCAGCCCTGCACAGGGCCGATGGTTCAGTCCGTGAACCGGCCCACAGGCTGAAGTGAACCACCAGTCTGGCGCGCGCGATTCTTCTGCTCAGGGCGAGGGCGACATCAATGAGCGACAGGTTCTGGGGCTCTGATGTTTCTCTGGATTCATTGTGCTCTAAACTATCAAATGACTTCTCTACCTCTCCTCACCACGGGTCGGGCCGATCTTTACGCACAGCTGATTTGCGCTGCAGGGTGCCACCTGAGCTGACAATGAAGAGCGGAGATCAGAAAAATTAGTCCCAATAACCCTAGGTGGGCTGCTAAAACAAACAGTGGTGCTTATTAAAAACAAAAAAATCACAAAATAAGAAATGCCCTGTCCCTCTTAGTGCTGCATAAATTAAATCTCTGTTTGTCTCTGGCATCCAGCAGCGAGATGCACAGTGCAGCAGCTCTAACAGGGCCGAGCGGCTTCAAACAGAAAACTTCTCCCATAAAGCTCAGCCTGACAACAAATCAGCTGTTTACCTCAGAMGACGAATTTGAAAAGTCTTCCAGCTAGATCTGACAGAGATGCGCAGTGCTCCAGCTCGTCATTTCACTGTGGAACATCACCTGTCAGTCACCAGGGGCACAACAAGTGGGAGTGGCCACGGGGGGCTGTGCCCCACCAGTTTTAACCTTGAGTCCCAAGCTTTGGGCTTATTTAAATATTTCCCAGCTATATAAGATTAGTAGAACCTTATAAGTAAAGAAGTTTTTTTTGAAAAACTAAGAATTAAAAATATGAATTAATATTTTACTTAAAATAAAAAAAAACCTTAAAATAGTTCATCTGAAAAAAGACAGCTAGTATAAAATAAATGTCCTCAATATCAGGATGAA